CACACACACACACACACACACACACACACACACACACACACACAGAACTGCAGAACAAAGAGCACACAGACTAATGTGGAAACCATTTTTATTCTCTCTCTAGTTATATTTTGTGTTGGTTGTGTAATCAGCTGTGAATTTATATTTGGCTCATGCGTACATGGTTTTGGCTGGCATTTCTTTTTGTGGATTTATCATAAAAACTGTTTCGTGGAAGCACTTGTTCAGGCAGCAAGCGCTGTATAAAGGTTCAGAAGTCGTCCTGCTCTGTTCGTCTCATCACCTCACACGGTTGCCATGCTGTCATTGTGACTCCTTTGTCTGCTTGTAGATTGGATGAATAGTAAAACTTCTCTAGAGAAAAAAATAAGTTACTGCAATGCAGAATATGCAATGTTTAAAGTTTTATAAGGACTGAGGGGTAATGGAAACATTTGCATGCTGATGAGGGTTGTTACTGACTTCAGTGCTTTTGATATTGGAATATTAGTGATCTTTTTATTATTTGCCTTCCTGAGAGTCATCACAATGTGTTGACACCTTAAATTGCCATTCACCAATATCACAGACTTCAATATCAGATGGTGGGCGTATGAGTTTCTGCATGCTGGCTTCACTGGTGTTATCTTACAACTGACCACTGTACAGCACAAGCTCACAACAAAGCTTTAGATCCATATGCTACTATGTAACGGTCACAGAGCTCCATCAGTACTGTTTGAAGCTACTGACACGCAGTGATGTTCGTCAAATTCTTATCTCTGATCCCTCCCTACAGACTTCCTGTGATTCAGTGTCTGTTTTGTGTATGTTTTTCCACATTGTACAAAATGTAAAAACAAATAAAAATATCAATGAAAGCACTTGTCATGTATATTGCTGTCATTAAAATGTTCTGATCAGAATGTGCCATTGTTATGTAGTAATTTGTCACTGACTGAACATTTATCCAGGATAAATAGGTGTTTTACTATCACCCTACAATTTAAAATACCTTAAAACATTTCACTCAGTTGAAATATTTGACTAAATCATTAACAAAGATAAAGTTTACAAAAAGAAACATCCTAGAGTTTTGTTTATTAAAGTTTGGTATGTTTTGATCAGAAATGTTCTAGCATTCCCCCAAATACATTTTTAGTAATACTCTTTACAAATATTACAACTGACTTATTTAGTTTATGTAACAGCAGCAATAAGTTGCAAAATTAGCTTGATGTGCACATTAAAATGAACATAAACACAAAATACAATAAAGAGGCTTCTTTCTACAAAGTGCTGAGGACGTAAACTCTCAGGTGTCCAGTCTGCGTTTCTTCATGTACTGTCCTTGTCTGTACGGACTGAAGGCGTCACCTGTAACATGAAAACATAAAAAATAAAAGATGCTGCATTAAATTCATCCAGCAGCTCATTAACAAAAAAAGCGACTCTGCTGATGAAACCTCACCTGGTTGCCCCTGATACAGGTTCTGGTATTGAGGTGTGAACTGAGCCCTTTCCTGTCCTCTGTTGCGTGATGGGCCCTCGTCTGATGGTCTGCACGGGGGTCTCTGCGGGGTCTTACTGCGGGTCTGCATCTGGTGATTCCCAGGCGTGCTTGGCCTGAGCCCACTGGACGACGGCGCACCTGTGGGGACATCCAGCTCCTCGATCCCATCCAGAGTGAAGTCCCAGGCGTCAGGATCATCTGCAGAGGGGGACACAACAGAAGTGAGCAAGGACGGAAGGTAAAAGCTGAACAAAGGCAGGTTTCCTCACCTCATATACTGTCTAAGTAAGTTGAGCCCTCTGCTGGTGGCTCACAGCACCTGCTAAATACTCATCCCTGCTCCTGGGTCTGGCCGAAGTGCTGTTGCTCATCGCAGGTCCAGCTTCATGACCTGGGGAACAGAAACACCAACAGACCAACTATAGTCTCATTTACACTAAACTGCCGTAATATAGAGACTCTTTAAACTGGGGTTCTCACATTGCCGGCCCTCAGACCTAATCGTGGCCACAAGATAAAAAAGCCCCTCTGTGTTTCAGTGTTGCATCTTTACTGTGGCGCAAAAAAAAGTCTCCTTCTAAACCAACAACAACTGAGCTGTAGAAACTGGAGGGAAAGCAGTTTCAAGAGTTGGACATGTATATTTTGTGGCATTTAATGTGTCATTTTCTTTATGGTCTGGAAAGTAAAAAGTCAGATTCCAGGAATAAAAGCTCAAACTGTTTAAAGAGGGTTCACGCATGAAATGAATAGTTTGAGAGAAAAAGACAGAAAAATCAGTCCAGTACGAGGTAATATGAGTTTGACGCCGCAGCTTTCAATGAATTATTTAACGCGTGAAACCCTTACCTCCACCGGATCCTCGACCAATAGGAACCTCCGCCTCCTCAGACTTTGCCTGATCTTGTTTTTGCTGCTGCATCTTTTCCTCCATCTCTTTCCTGAACTTCTGCTGCAGCTGCTGCTGTCGAAGCTTCCTCAGCTGTTTGGGGTCGGTGTGCACTTCAGACCCGTCAGCGTCCACCGGGTCCATGGAAGGTCTATGAGGAGGACATGGAGAAATAATCTCAAATGTGACAGATACAGAAGAGATGAGGAGGTGTAAAGCAGCAAAGTTGCGAAATACTAAAATCTGCTCTTCATCTCACCCATCCACTTTCAAGCATGAGGATTTAAAGTACCATGAAAATGTGGCACACCCTCTCTAGAGCCAATACTTGATTTGTCCAAGCAGAGCTGCTCACCTGGTGCTGATCTTCTCACTCGTCCTGTCAGGAGCAAGGCCAGCATTAGGAGTGTGAACGTCTGAGTAGTTCTGGTTCTGGTGGGGGACTCTGGGCTCAAGAGGCACCCAGGCAGGACGGGTCGCAGATACAAGCTTTTCCTCTCGGACCAGACTGGAGAGCCGGGCCTTCTCCACTGAAGGCTCCCCCGCGGAGCGTTTGGTCTGGGCTGGGTCGAGAGGAGGAGGAGGCTTTGTGTGCAGGAGAAATGAGAAGGTTCAGGTACCACAGATTTTCTGAATGAAAATAAAAACACTAAATGCTAAAAGTTGAATTTACTGTGTCTGACCTGTTTGGGGATCTTGTTTATGGCAAGGAGATATTCTTTATCCAGGATGCAGTTTCCAAGGGCATTACCAAAGCACCTCAACAAAACAACACATGTATTTTAATCTAAATATTTATTTTCTTTATATATTAAGTATGAACATTTAAATTTCAGTACTTCAGTGCTCTCTTCATGCCGTCAGTCACAGCTTCCTTTCTCGCTTTTTCCAGTGACAGAGCTTTCGACTTCAGTCCCTCGCTTACTCCGTAGCCCACATCCTCGTGAAATGCCCCGTCCTGGAGGAGATGGTGACCGGGGGTAAAGGATAGAGACGATTTTTGGTGAACCAAGTTTTGATGAGATGATCTGTCATGTGACTATTCTGCTAGAATCACAATGGAGAAACATTTGTGAGCTAACCTTCAGCTGCACTTTGATAAACGCACTGACTCCGACATAAAACTTCCCATTGACGAGGTCGACAAAGTCTGTAAAACACAAACAGTTCCTGTTATTCTGGCTTTACGGCTGCTTTGATGTTGAAACAGCATCCTCAGAGTCGTACCAACGTTCTGCTGAGAGATGGAGTGAGACCATCCGTTGTATCCAAACATTTCGTTAGCCAGACCGATGACTCGATGTCCTTCAACATAACAGACCTGTTCAAACCAGAGCAAACACAGTTAAAGCCAAGTGGTCTTGTGCAACTATTGGTTTTAAAGTTTTTATTCCAGCCTGATTTTGCTCAACCCATCTGTTGTATTGACACTTTAAAACGTTTGTGACACTTCACATAAACTGTGTGAATTTTTTTCACAGCTGGAGAGAAACAGTCAGACACTGACGGAAAGAAAAACAAAGACTTGCCCTCTGTCCTCCTCCAGCCACTCTGGTACTGATGTACTCTGGACCCAGCCTCTGCCGCAGAGCGTTTTGAACAGCCTGGTACTCATCAGCTGTGTAGGTACACTGTCAACACAGAACAGATAAGCAAACACACACACCAAAGAAAAAAGGATGGATTTCCATGAAACTTGGTGGAATGATGGGACATGTTTAGTTTAGGAACTGATATCTTGTTTAATTTAAGAGGCCTTGGCAGAGTTTTACATTCGACTGAGCACCATTTTAGGGGCCAAAAGGCAAGTCCCAATAGTGTGACTGACACACACACACACACTCACACTCACACACTCACACACACACTCTCTCTCTCTCACACACACAAACACACACACACACACACACACACACACAATGGAATATTAGTAGCTCCTGTCTGGGTGTGAACGTGCACCATTAAAATGTATGTGTGTGATTAACAACTGAACCTGAGCTCCTGTTTCCATCAGGGATGTGTGTTGGTCCTTTTGTTTTAATTCAAGATTATAGATTTTCTGCTGCAATGAACCTTACAGAAGAGATTTAGCTTCCACCGATCACTGTTCTCTCAGAGGGAAGAGAAGTGTGTGAACATGATGAAAGATGTGAGGAAACACAGGCAGTCAGCTCAAACCCTGGATCCTTCTCGGTTGTGTGAGTGGGATGTGATCCAGACTGGCTTTAGCAGCAGCCTTTAGAGGATCCCTCTGTGCTCATCCTGCTCTGTTACACTGTGAAACACCAATGGCTGGTTTCATCATAGCTGAGCTTTGACTTTCTAATTCATTCATTCATGCGCCCTGTAAACCACCTACCTGCCCGAAACACCTGCCTGCAGAGGGGCTCTTCTCCTCCATGCTGCTGCTGGACATGGCTGCAGAGCTCTGTTATGGACAACAGCGCTAGTTAATACAGCTAACTAACAGGTTCACTAACTAACTAACCAGCAATAGTGTTAGCTTATCTGAGCAACCAACACTTCGCAGCTTCAGCTTGTTCACTGGAAGCTAACAGGAAGTGAAGGTCATTTTTAAATTTGCAAAGAAGTGAGTTAAACTAGCTGCACTCCAAATCGCTAATACCAGGACACACATGTAAATAAGCGTATGTGTAAATAGAGATACAAACGCACGTGATAATATTCCTCAGACGAAGGTTCAGCGATGAATAAATCCGCCGCAGTGGTTGTTTATCTGCTACATGTCAGCTAATCTGAATAAAACCGGTTTAAAGCTCAGTCCTTGAAGTAAACGCTTTCCTGAACTTCCCGCTCGGACTACAGGGGGCGGAGCTTATGCTGCCTTCAAGACCGTCGGAAAAAATAAAATGTTTTTGTGTTGGACTTTAGAAAAGATTAGAATCGTGAGGTTTAGATGTGGTGACAGACTTTGTGAGGTTTTATTATAAGTGTCTGCGTTGCTTTAGTTTTGTCGATGTGGATTTTATCCCCCATCACTTCTCAAGAGCAGTCTACAGCCTCATCATTCTGCTGTTACCATAGAAACCATATTCGGTTACTGAGAGATAATTATTTTTCAGTGCTGAGTAGTAAATGTTCACAATGTGTATTTTATTTTGTTACTAGAGAAATAAAAAGAAATTATAATTTCTTTCAATTATAATCATTTCATTCTGATAATAAGATGTAGAAATATTATATTTCTTTTATATATATTTGACTTCCAATGTGGATTCAGTGAGTTTTTCCATGTGTTTTTTCCACACTGAGAAACTGTGCAAGTAATTAATTTAATATTAATAACAATAATAATAATAATACATTGTATTCTACAGGAACAAGCTGGACAGTTAACACTGAACAAAATGTTACAGTAAATAATCACAGTGAATGAAATAAAAATCTTTATAGGTTCTGTTAGTGGGAGTCTCCTTGATCCAATGAGAGAGATTTACTTCACCAACAGATTAACTGTCACAACATGCATATAAGAGTCATCGTGTGTTTATTTACTATGGGTTCTATTTGTGTAGCAACATCAACAACAAATCACGTTATATTTGGGGATTAGCTTACAGTGTTTGCATGCATTATTTGTCTCATATACATTCATACACATGTTTTGTTTTTTTTAAACTAATTTTCACAAGAGACTCAGTTATTTACATGAAGACCCGTGCAAATGGAGGATTAATCTGCAAAATGCCTGCACTGGCAGATGGCAAAGACACAACTCCATAGATTAGGGTCAGTGGGTACTATACTGCCTCCTATTACTGTATATAGATGTGTTGGCCACAGCAACAAGGCACATCCATACTCATGGTTGTACTGTAACTACTGCAGCTCAGGCCTCGCTGTTCTCAACAGGCCTGTGTTGTTGTTGGGTTACATATCTCTCTCTCTGTGTGTGTGTGTGTGTGTGTGTGTGTACTCCTGTACTTATATCTTTGTGAGGACCATTCTAAGCATACACCCTAGGACATTTTTGGAAAGTGAGGACATTTTCACCTGGTCCTCACAAATTCAAAGGTTAAAGCCTTTTAGGGTTAGAATAAGGTTTAGGTTAGGGTTAGGCATTTGGTTTAGATGGTTATTTGGGGTAGGGTCCTAGATAATGCTTTATGCCAGTGAGTGTCCTCATGACTAAAGAGAGACACGTGTGTGTTAGTGTCTCCTGCATGACTGTGTTATACTGAAAATTGTCCAGACACGTCCACAGCTCGATAAACTCGTGCGTTAATGTTCTCGTAGATCCCCCCCCCTCCTCCGTTCGGCAAACTGCTTGAACAACCAGGCGCGTCCACGTGCGACTCGTGTGCACGCGTCCAGGTTCGTTTTGCATCTCGTCAAAACAAAGCGGGGGCGCGCCGGCAGAGAGCGAGCAGAGCGAGCAGCGGTGCACGCTTCATGAATGAGTCCCTCTCCTCCAGCACCGCAGCCCGGACCCTCCTGCCGCCTGCGCCCCGACGCCGAGACCCCGCGTGTGTGAGCGCAGACCGGCGGGGGAGCAGCGCAGCCGATGAGCCCGGACAGCGGTCGTCTCCCGGCAGGACTGCATGAGAACACGCGCACCTCACCAGGAACAAGTCGACGGGAGAAGCTACGGTGAGTGCGGACTGCGGTGGGCGGGCAGAGGCGCGTGACACACGGCAACTTTGGAGCCATTAATGATCCTGGTTTCATCCAGAGGTTCCTCCTGCGTCGGTGTGCGCGTGTTGACGAGACGTCCAAGTTGTTTACTGTCACGCTCGGTTCATCCACGCAGGTGAAAAGAGAGGAAAAGCTCCACGTACGCACGACTGCCTGCACATTCCTCCTCTAACGTGGACTGTTGACTGCGTGTCTGGCCGATTGATCACCTGTGTTCTGTCGAATAAACGCGTGGATTGGCTGCAGCAGGGGGACAGGAGACACATGGTGGTTGATAGAAATGAAAAGAGGAATCGAATGGAGTGTAGTCGTCCCTAAAAGACGAGGAGGAGGAGGAGGAGGAGGGGTGAACAAAAGCACAAATGCCCAGACTGGCGTGGCATGTCGGGTATACAGCGTGTACGTAGTGTAGTGTGTGCGTGTGTGTTTGTATATGTGTGTGTGTGTGTGTGCATGAGATGTGATGTTAGTCTAATGAAACAGATCAGACACATGAGTCAGTCATCGATCACAGACACAGAGGCAGGTTTGTGTTGTGTCTTTGTCTGAAGAGTGACAACAGCCCAGACTGTTGTTCTCCCCTCTGACCAGGGGATGGTGCTCCACCGTGTACAGTAGGTTTCTACTGGGAGACACCCAAATACACGATACACACACACGTACACACACACACACACACAGAGAGAGAGAGTAGCGTGGTTACGTGGCTTTTACAGGAATAACAATCTGCTCCCACTCACACTCTACATGCACACACATGCATTTCCTCCTTATTCCCCTGATGTAATATGTGTGTGTGTGTGTGTGTACTTGTGCTTATATCTTTGTAAGGACCATTTGGAGCATAGACTTTACAGAGTCAGGACATTTTGGCAGGTCCTCATTTTTTCAAAGGGCTCTTTGAGAATTAAGACTTGCTCTGGGGGTTGAGATGAGAGTTAGGTTCACGATCAAGGATTTAGTTGTGATGGTTAAGTTGTGTAAGGGGCTAGGGAATGTATTACACCGATGAGAGTCCTCACTAACCCTCATAGAAGTTCAAGAAAGTGAGTGTGTGCTTGTTTTTGTTGCCTCTAAAGGACATTTTCAATATTAACTTTGACTCTGTCAGGACCAGTTGACCTAATGGGGACCAAAGCCTGGTCCGAATGAGGCATAATGTCAGGTCTGGTAAAGGTTAGGGGTAAAATGGGAATTGTGGGTTAGGTATAAATCGGTCAGGGTCAATGTTTTGGTTAGGCTGTCCACAATGAATAGAAGTCGATACAGTGTCCTAACAATTATAGCTTTGTAAACTTTTGTGTGTGAGATTGTAGTAAATTTGGAGCGTAGCTTGAGCTCCGATTGCAAAACTCTCCTCCATGGTGTTGTAATAACAGTCAGTGAGAGAGGAAACCGAAAGCAGCCGACTCATTTCACACTACAACTGCTTGTTTTTCTGCTGTGCCCCTGTGACTTTGAGATTTACTCTACATTTTATGTGGTGGTGCTTTTATGTTCCTTATTTCATCATTGTCTCAGAGTAAAGAGCGGCAGCTGGATCACGACTGTGTCAGCGTCTCAGACATTTGTCTTTGATGCCTCACGTAGCTGCTTCACGTAGCTGCTTCAAGATAAACCTCAATAACCATTTCTCCATCATCTCCTCCATTATGCTCAGATGCTTGATGGACTCCGGAGGAGGCATGCCTCCAGGCCCTCCCCCCGACCCCTGTCCCTCAACTTCAGCACCTTCTCCGCCCCTCCCCCGAGCCCAGACATGGACAGCAGCAGCGAGCATCCAATCAGGAGGTAAGGCTCAGTTCCTGGGATTAACATTTCAAAACATACCAGCAGCATCTGGGAAAATGCATGAACTATTCATTAGCTTTAAGATCCCCTCATGTCTGGTCCCAGAAGATTTCATTAACCATCAGAGCTTTGCCTGCAACATGCTGACCTAATGATAATGATCTCCTGGTGGGTGTTTGATTGACTCATTTCCTCATGTGTGTACATCTCATCAGTCTGTGCACCTGCTTTCCATGAGGTTTTGTGAATGTGGGTCTGGAATGGGGGGAATGCCGTTTCTGGACTGCGAGAGTCTGAAGTCATCATTTCTTAGCTTTCACCAGGTCCTCCAGAAACCAAACAGTGTTTTCTTTTACATCAATGAATGCATAAAAAGTGTGCACTTAAAATTCTGATCACACCTGTGCGACGTGAATCACGTTTTAGGAGAATTGCGTGACTCAGGCGAATGGATGTGTCACACACAGAGTTGATCCAAGATGGAAAGCAAAGGGGCCAATAAACAATGGCCAGCTTCTTGCGGATGTATAATCACTGCCATATACAGCTCCAGAAAAAAAGAATAGATCTCCAGATTTGTCTTAAATCTGCACCTCTGCATGGCAGCCATTTCATTTTGGCGTCTGTTGAATTTGGAATTTGAAATTGTTGCCTGTAGTAAAGAATAGGAACAAAAGTTAATCTTATATGAACACATCTATAAACAAGTATTTGTAGTTGGTG